CCGATACATTTTCTAGGTCCGTGACCGAATGGTAGGTAAGTGTACGGTAAAATTTTGTCTTTATTCTCCTCGCTGAACCTTTCCGGATTGAACTTATCCGGATTCGGAAAGTACTCCGGATCGTGATGTAAACCATGAATGGGAAACATCAATACATCGTTGGGTTCGACGATCACATTCTTGCAACCTGGTCGCGACGGAGGTAGTTCATATCTCTTAGCACAAAGTCTATCGGTGAGAATCGTTGGTGGATACTTTCTAAGAGTCTCGGAGATCACCATATCCATGTAAGACATCTTCGACAGCAACTCGTAAGAAATCTCACCGTTTCCTTCGGCAAAATGCTGTTGTATCTCCTCACGCAAACGATTTTGTACACCTTGATTAACTGTCAGCTCGTGAACAGCGAAACACATCAGCGTCGCAGATGTGTCGAAACCAGCGAAGAAAAACATAACGGCTTGCGAAACTATGTCATCCAATGTCATTTTATGTACACCGACACCTTCTTTGTCCCGAGCCTGCATTAATAAATGAATCATGTCCGGCCTGACAATGCCTTGCTCTTCCCGCGCTCTAATAGTTTCCTCCACGATCTTCTTAAGAAACTGAGAAGTAGCCGGCGGGAAAAAAGACAGACCTATTGATTTAGCGAGCCGTGGACACGCGCGAAATAACATAAACTTAGCTATTGCCAGCAGTCCGGAAGAAAATTTGGAAATCTCTATTCCTCTCATATAGAATTCATTATCTGGATCTTTCATAGAATTCACACTTATGCCAAAGGCTGTCGTAGCAATTACGTCGGTGGTGTATCGTCTAAAGACCTCCTTCGTTTCGATCGCATGACAGACTTCCGGATGATCGAACAAATAATTAACGAAATTGTGAGAACATTCTGATATCAAGTCAAACATGAACTTCATCTTGCTGGTGGTAAAAGAGGGGCTTAATGTATTCCTCATTTCTCTCCAACGATCTCCGCGCAAGGATAAGATGTTCTTGCCAAATAGCGGTTCCACGCTTGCATCGATGAAACTGCGATGATCCGGAAAAGATTCAAACTCCTTCACCATGATGTCTTTGATCAGCTCAGGATCGCGCACTAGCACGCCAGGCGTGCCAAATTCCATTAATCCAACATATTTTGCATCCGGATAGTAATTGTATGTATATTGAAAATAATCGGCAATACTGATGCGACCCATAATCATTTTCCAACCCGTTATAAGAGATGAATCTGGAAGGTAAGGTGCACCTTTATTCGTCCAGTAAAAATATGCATGATGCACCACAGCGACAATTTTCAGGACGCCGATGACGACCAGTGTAATCAATAATAGCGCAAAGGGCGACGAAAGCCACAATAAATCCATCGCGACACGACAGTAATATAATAGACACTGACACAAACGGGATATATCGTCGGCCGAGATTACGAGATTTCTGACGCACGCGTAGTAACGCGACACGTTTCATGCAGGCGATTAGTGGCGTACAATTCTCACCGAACTATATACGTGTCGTCGAAATCCACTATAAGAAAAGAATAATACGTGTTAAAGAAAATAGTCTCTGGAGATTTTTAGAAATTAAACAATATAGTTTATGCGTTTGCAGTCGACTCTATTACATGAATATAACATTCGTTGCAACCGTTATAACTTCTTTCCACGCAAATGTAGCCCAGGAAGCGCCTTATGCGAAAGAATCTACATACGAGCATGTAAAATAATCACGTGTTGACCATTGCATGCTACTACGCATGTGCTAGAAATCCCGCAATCTTCCAATACTAGCGCGGCGTTATAAATACGTGTTGTGCAGATCTTATCGTGAATGAAACGAAGACGGGAGGGTGAAACGCCTTTCGATATTATCAAGTAAGAGACTGATCATGGATCGAGACTGTGTGCTGATTGATATTGACAAACCATGACAAAACCCATCCATAATATAAAAACATGATTTTCAGGCTACATTCTAAGAGAAAATTCTTTCTGTGATGACACTAAAAAAAAAGATATGTTTCTTCTCAGCTTCAACGTTAGAAAACGAGCCACATGTTAACAATGTTGAATAAACATTTAAAAATGAGGCATAATGCAGAGCATTACTTTATTCAAAGCCCTTTCACATATATGTTTAATCCTTCATTTGATGAATTCATAGATTGAGCGTTCCATCACTTCGGATGAAATGTGTGCCCTAAAATTTTGCTCATATCAACACCCGCGGTGGTAACTATTCATCTTGTTCTTTTTTAATAAATATTTTTATGTAGAATTATCGGATGGAGATATCTTGCATTAAAGAATTAAGAAAGATAGAATATTAAATATAATAAATATAGATAGATTCGACTGAAAAGATTGTCATATCAGCGAAGAAACCAAGCTAGCAAAGAAGATTAGAAAACACTTTGCATCATTTGACATACATACTTGAAAATATCCGTACTATTTACGCTTTATAAACATAACATGCATATAATAGTGCATGTACATATGGAATATGTGAATTACAATCAAAATTTTATAATTTATTTTTTATTTTAATTTTTATATACGTTTAATATCTAAAAAATATATATATAGCTTAGAGATACATAGAATTATGGCACCATTGCATAGAATTATAGTAAAAAATTAATTTTATATTACTGACTATCCTAATGTATTATTTGCCTGGTACTTTAATTCATAATTATTTGGAGTTACTGACGGATCTAATCCATATTGTTTCATTTGAACTGCAATGTCGAGCAAATAATCGTAACATTCCGTCCTGTAAAAAGAAAAAGAAGACATTTTTAAGACAAAGATTGTTAAATAAATTTTACTGCGACATGTGATAGTAAAATATAGCTTACATAGTTTTTGCCTGTTGCCAAGAATTGCCCCACACATAAATCCCATGTCTGCGTACCAATACAGCGCAAGTCTCAGAGTAATCAACGATAGTTTGATCTAAATCGTCCCTTAAATACCTCTCAAAGGGAGTGTTTTCTATGATCGGTATTATCAGCTCGTCGTCGTAACGATACCTTCAGTAGGCAGCTCTACCTTCTTCCTGATTCTACATGCCTGCGCAAGTCGAACAGTTTTATATCGTTATCAATTTGAAATTAACTGTAAATAGACTTGAAGAGATGATTTAAATGTATATGTGCATACCTTTTATCATCTCGAGATGAGTGAGCCTGACTTCTTTCCCAGGCCATAGCAGTGTTTTGCCATCACAGCGAACTTCGAATGGGTGTGAATCACAGCACCTGCGTGCCTTCTTAAATAGGCACACATAAATAGCGGAGTGCATTGCGACTTCTTCAGTTTTTTTTCTAACGGAGACAATTCCAAATCTGTTCCATTGACATCTTGCACGAACATGTCGTTGGGCATCATACGCTCCTTTTGTACACCAGAAAGAGCTACGTAGATTTTATCTCTGTAGGATAGAAATTTTAGTGAATATCTATACTTTAATAACAGTTTCGGACATGTGACAATCAAGCTTTTAAAACAAGTATTACTGCAGATATTAACTCATGTTTTATGGAGATTCCGGAACCCGGCAGCGGAACCGCATACAATTCGGGCCCTCGTAAGAGTGTTCGTCGGGGTAACCCAAAATGACCTGGAAATGCCGTCGGGAGATCCGGGAAGAGTTTTCTTTTCTGTATAAGCGTTCGAGTTCCCTGGAAACCTTTAGCAGGGAGATAGGGTTTGGAACGCGAAGACCACCGCAGTTGCGGCGGTGTCCGGATCTTCCCCTCGGACCTTGAAAATCCAAGAGAGGGCCACGTACGAACCGCCACCAATACCAGGCACCCATTCGAGATGATAAAACAGCCGACATAGTTCGGGAATAAGATTGCTAGGGTGTTCCTGTATAAAAATGACAGATATTATAAAACCAAATCTATACACATAAATTTTAAAACTAATATTTTGTAAGACCTGTTTTTAACGTCCATTAATACACGTATATATAAATAGTGTGAAAACTTATATAACATTTTAATATGCGCTAAAAAATTATATACGTGACTTTATAAATGAACAAAGTTTATGTTGCATTTGTATTAACAATCATAGAATTTGAAATGTGAAGCATCGACGATTATTCAAGTTTAATTTTATGAGAATTAATATAGGTACATGTTCAAATAATAGTATTGATATATTAATGTATTAGATATATGTTAATATTATTGCATATTAAATTAGTTTTTTCGATAAATCAATATAAGAATTGATTGGAAGTTAGCCCTTTATATGTAAGTTTGCTTTTATTGTTTAAATGTTTATTTTATTTATTTACTCAGAAGAAAAAAAAAGTTGCGGAGCAACCAAAATTGAGACTAACCGTCAAAGAGAAGTAAAATTCACTTACCAAACCAAAACGCGGGATTGAAACTGAAGCCTTGGGAAAGATATCGAAAACTAAGTTTTTAATGCTTTTTTGTTTATTTTTAAGAGACTCTTTATTTTTTCTCGTGGTGCTGTACCAATGTTTCCTCTCTGCTTTACTTTACTCTTGCTCATCCCAACTAACGCTGTTTCCCAATAAGAATAGGTAAGCTGTAAAAAACACTCTTATTTTAAGCTCCACCATCGGTCAGCCTGAAAAAGGTCTGAAATTTTCCAGTTAGGTGAATACGCGCATGCACCTCTCTCCTTTCCCTTATACTTTGGAAAAACCCAAAGACCTACTGAAGCCTCAAGAACAATAGTAACAAAACATTTTTGTGAGAGATTTATAATAGGAGTTGTTACCTCTGTTTCAACTCTGGTTTTCAGAAAGGAAACAGACTTTAATTTTCTCGTGAAGAAAAATTTACACTCCGGTAAAATATTTTTATAAAATGTAATCACATTTATTCTGCTGTATATATTACAAAAAATATATTTACATATATATATATAACATACATATAGTGACTGTTATATACATGTATATAACAGTCACTATATATTAATAAAAACAGACTAGTGCAAATATTATCAATATGAATAACAATTGGAGAATGAAATGGAACGAAACTGTCACACAAACTGTCTGACATGAAACATTCAAAACTCGTGCCCATAGATAAAAGAAGAATGCCCTTCACGCTATATAAGACATCTGTATTTTAAACAATTAAATGCGAGGAAAATAACTTTCCTCGATGCCCTTGTTTAAACTAGCCATAAAAAAATCATCAAACATGCATCATTTCACCAAATTTACTAAAAATAGTAATTAAATTAAAATCAGAACTCTTTGATTCATCGATTATAAATCTTTTAAAAAATCACTTAACAAATATTGTTTCAGGAAATCATATATTACAAGAAATATAACTTATCGATTGCTTTTAAATATGACATAAGTATAAAGTGAATTTCTGGAAGTAATCAGAAATTCAAAAAATCGTTTATAGAAAGTAAGAAAATGCGAACGTCTTAGTATAAATAACGTGTTGAGTATTATTTAAGTTACAGAAAATATTATCCGTGAATATTATATCAATGTTAATAGCAAAAAATGATTATTTTTTAAACTGGTATTCAAGTCAAATCAAAAAGCTTGGAATTCGCTCGAAATTAATTTCGACAAAATCACATTTCCAACAAAAAAATTAAACGAGTATGATGTACATCAATTCTAATTAATAAAAAATAAAAATAAAAAGAAAGACAAAATTTACAACGTATGTTTACAAAAGAATAAATTGAATTTATATATGTGAATTTCAAGATCAGGAACATTGTTGCAATAGGTAGCTATGATTTATCTTATTTTCATTATCTTATCATTCTCGCATGATATTATTCTCGATAACAATATAGCAAAATAACATTATATTTCTACATTCTTATAAAAAACTCTTAACAGCATTAAAAAGATGTCTGCCAGAAACATCACAATCAATAACAATTTCTTAATTGTAAACGTCTGTGTAGGTAATTAATTTAATGATTATCTGCCCAGTTTGCACTGACTAAGAGTAATGGATTGTTTTCCTCATTTTTTTTATATACAATCTAATCTCAGAGAATAAATCATATTTGATTCACATTCATATCTGATTAACAATCTTTGATTAACAATCTCCAACATGTGTTACATGCTAAAATATGAAAAATGTCAAATGCTTTGCTAGTTTATTATAATTAGATTGTTTATATATTTTACATAGCTATAACAAAATGTAACTTAATTTTATTAAAAATTTGAAAATCTTATTTATAAAAAAATATTATTGAAAAATATTATAAATGCACATACACAATACTGTAGCGTGCAACAGTAATCGAGATCATGTGCTTTAATGAATCTAATAAACTCACATTAAAAGTGAGGCTATGGACCTGTATTATTATATGCGATAGCTTTGTCACCAAAATAAGCAGATAAATACAAAATGACATATCTTACCTGAGTATAAAGTACTCACATAACTGAGTGATCACTCAGATCACTTAAGTGTAAATGGAAAGCAACTAGCGAATGCTTAAATTTATAGTAAGTTATAACAAAC